GACGTGGCAGGCGGATCGAATGGCGGCCGTTGGATTTGCTGATAGGGATTCGGATTCCGTCTGGTGTTTGAGGACCGTGAAGACTGAGATTATTGCACAGATTAGGATTGTGAAGAAAATGGTGCTGCAGATGATGAAGTGTTTGTTTCTTTTTTGTCTTGTTGTGGATTGTTCTTCGAGGTTGAGGTTTGCTTGGGGTTTGTCCATTGTGTGTGTGTGTGTTTTTCTATTGGGCACAAGATTGAAATAATTAAGACAAAGTTTCTTGGCAAGAAATGGGAATTTTCTTGGAAATTAGAGATGAGAAGTGACATAAGAAATCTATTGATAGGTTTAGTAATAAGTGTGTGGTTGGTGTACTTGGTTGAATATTACAAGTCAAGATAATGATGTTCATGTCACTTGGGAAAAGATGAGGTGACTAAAGTTGACTTTTCAAATGCAGAGTTTACTCTGTTGTGACAAAGCTCTTAAAAAGTATCATTGTTCTTATGAGTAGCCTACTTGGTAGTGTAAAGAGAGCGCTATGTGTAATGACCTCGAGTTCGATCTCCTTGACCATGCTGTCTATGTCGAACTTGTCATTTATGACTTGTTCAGTATGATTTACACCTCACATGTGGTTTGTCGGCCATTTATCGAACGGAACGGCTGGAGTGGGTCGATAAATCGGGTGCAATCAGTGGCGGATCCAGGATTTTTGCCAAGGGGGTTCGAAATTGTAGAGTAAAAAATGTAAATATCACTTTATAAAAATAGTGGACCAAAAATTTACAATTTAAAAATTTTAGGTGAATTGTGGAAATATTTAATGAGAAAAAGGTGAAAATGTTAAGATTTGGAAAAAAAATCAAAATAGTGAACCAAAAAGGTGAAAGGGTTCGAAATTGTAGAGTAAAAAATGTAAATATCACTTTATAAAAATAGTGGACCAAAATGTTAAAAAAACATCAAAATAGTGGACCAAAGATGAAAAATGTTAAGATTTGGAAAAGAAATCAAATATTGGACGGGTGGAGCTCGAACCCGGACCTATAAATAAAAGGAGGCATATCTTTACCACCTCACCCAGCTAGTTTTTCTGTCAACATATGTATAATAGTAATATTTATTTAAAATCAAGGGTGTGCAGCTGCACACCCTAGACAATAGCTAGATCCGCCACTGGGTGCAATGGAGAATAAATTGGCAAAAATATTATGATGTTAGTTAAATAATGACGATAATATAAAAAGATAAATTTAATAGTGTGTTACATATACTCTGTTCATTTACTAAGGAAAATCAAAATGGTATATTTGAATCAAAAGGTGTAACGTACATCGAGAGAACTGCATCAAAATATTGATAGACGAATGAAAAATTAATGTTATATTATTTTTTTTAGTTATAATAACATTTTACTTTCATTATTGCATTATAATCCTAATAATAACAATATTGGAATTGGATTTTGATATTTTTAGTATTTAAATTAAAAAAGTGCAAAATGACAAATAGGTCTACGACAATGGCACTTAATTAAAAGAGGGACATCCAACTTTTTTGTCTTTTAAATTAATCGAGCTCATTCAAACTTATTTGCAAATAAGGAAAATCCTTTATATATACCAAAATTACCCCAAATTCATTGAAACTCAATTCAACTCCAATTTTATGATTTACACCCCAATTTAGCCAAATTTCATCAATTAACCAATTTTAACCTTAATTTCAATTTTGACCCCAATCTTTTTTATATAACTTTGTTTTTTCTTAAAAAAACGTATTTTTAATTATTATTACTGTCTTAGCTGCTAAATTACAGTCTCCAACAGTTATTTAACTATGGGAGACAGTAATTTAACTGTTAATTGATTTTTTTTTTTTAAAATATTTTAATTAATATTATTGTATTCATTGCTAAATTACTGTCTCCAACGGTTATTTAACTGTCAGAGACAGTAATTTCACTGTTAATTCAATTTTTTTTTGAATATTTTTTTCTTTAAAAAAATTATTTTAATTAATATTACTGTCTTGGCTGTTAAATTGTTATCTTCAACAGTAATTTAATTGTCTCAGACAGTAATATTAATGATATTACTGTTCGGGAAAATAATATTCTTAATATTACTGTCCAAAACAGTAATATTACTGTTGAGACAGTAATTTAGTAGTCAATACAGTAATATTAATTAAAATGTTATTTTCTAAGAAAAAAAATTTCTAAAAAAAAAAAGAAAAAGAAAAAGTCAACGCCGGAGTCTGGCGGTCAACGGTGGTTGACCGACCGGAAAAAAATTTCAGCAAAAAAAAATTCAAAAAAAGAAAAAAAGTCAACCCCGGAATCTGGCCGGAAAAAAAATTCAGAAAAAAAATTATTTTCTGAAAAAAAAAATATTTTTTCAAAAAATTATTATTTTGGGGGTTAATATGATATTTGTTAAATCTGGATCAATGTGTTGAAGTTAGACATAATGGATGGAATTGATAAGAATTATATTATGGGGATATTTTTTACTAAAGACATGGTGATGGTTTATTTGAAAGACTATTTTTTTTTTTTTTCCAATGTGCATTTAAGTCCGTTGTGATGGATTTTTTTACCATTCGCCCTTAAAAAAATGTCCAATCCGAGCTAAAAGAAGTTCAAAGTCTACCACTTGTAAATTTAATATTCTAAAAATATACATGAAGTCGGTTCCCAATTTAGAAGATTTATAAAAACTCCTTAGAACAACTCATTTATTAAATTATTTTCTAGAATGTATTTAATTTTTTTATGGAGTAATCTAGAGAGCCATGACAATGGTATGATTAAATGAATCAACATCTTCTATTAGAGGTGGTGTAGTATAAATACGAGTAGAGTGACCTTAAGAAAGCTTAAACAGAGTATAATATAAGAGTGAGGTTTGAAATGAATTACGTATGAAGAATTTGTTTTGATATTTTTAGTATTTAAATTAAAAAGTCAACGACTGAGTCTGGCGGTCAACGGTGGTTGATCGACCGGAAAAAAATTTCAGCAAAAAAAAATTCAAAAAAAGAAAAAAAAAATCAACCCCGGAATCTGGCCGGAAAAAAAATTTCAGAAAAAAAATTATTTTCTGAAAAAAAAAATATTTTTTCAAAAAATTATTATTTTGGGGGTTAATATGAGATATTTGTTAAATCTGGGTCAATGTGTTGAAGTTAGACATAATGGATGGAATTGATAAGAATTATATTATGGAGGATATGGGTTTATTTGAAAGACTTTTTTTTTTTTTTTTTTTGTGGACCAATGTGCATCTAAGTCCCTTGTGTTGGACTTTTTTACCATTCGCCCTTAAAAAAATGTCCAATCCGAGCTAAAAGAAGTTCCAAGTCTACCACTTGTAAATTTAATCTTCTAGAAATATACATGAAGTCGGTTCCCAATTTAGAAGATTTATAAAAACTCCTTAGAACAACTCATTTATTAAATTATTTTCTAGAATGTATTTAATTTTTTTATGGAGTAATCTAGAGAGCCATGACAATGTAATGATGAAATGAATCAACATCTTTCTATTAAAGGTGGTGTAGTATAAATACGAGTAGAGTGACCTTAAGAAAGCTTAAACAAAGTATAATATGAGAGTGAGGTTTGAAATGAATTACGTATGAAGAATTTGTTTTGATATTTTTAGTATTTAAATTAAAAATGTCCCGTTCAACCTAAGTCCCGGTGATATCTCCAAGAGTTGTTTATGAATTCTTTTTACAATTTGCAACCCTCCTTCCTGTCCTAGAAACATATTAATGAAAAGTTAAAAAATGTATTTGATTACGTAAAACAATTTTATTTTTTAATAAGTGTGCAATACCCTAATTTTGAAATTGCGCTTATCGCAATAGCATTAGGTTCACCCCTAAATTCATCCTTGGAAGTATTGGACATTTTTTATTCTAAAATTACTCATCCGTTAGATAAATCAGGTTACGGTATCAGTATTACGTGGATTATATTTATTAATTTCGGAGTGCATTTAACAATTTTTTATTTTTTATTATTATTTCTTACTTTTAATATTTATTTTTATAAAAATTAAGTTTTTTGAAATTTTTTTCCGATAAGTTTAAGACGTTGAATACGACTATAGTTGAGTATGACTACAATCTAATATCACTATATCAACTATAGTCATATTTTTTCTTTATATTTTTTTAAGCATTTTCAACTTAAAAATCTCGTATATATACTTTAATACAGTCATGTTTATCAAATTATATAAAATAAACGAAGATTGTCTATTATTTAAAAAGAAAAAAAAACCAATCAACATCCACACCAAAAATCACAATTTTGAATCTTGTTATTACAAGTTAACTTGTAGCCACACCAATACATCACATGTATCAATTTTTCAAAGCATTAGAAAAAAGAAAACCTACATATCTTATATACGATTATGTACGACTACATATAACTATATATGACTACATAACTTATTCTGTCCAATTGGCCTATTGTTTGCTCATCTTATTCAGCATCATCGACTTTTTTTACTGTAACTGAATTTTACACCAGAAAACAGACTTAGATCAAAATGAGATAGATGAATAGGGAGAAATTTACTTTAACCTTATAATTCGGCGGTGGCGAACCACTCACATAATTACTTGAATATATATATAATTTTAAGTCGAAAATGTAAAAAACGGTAATATAAAAATTGAATATGACTACAGTTGGCTATAGTCAAATAGAATATATTCGACATATTAAACTTGTCAAAAAAAATAAAATAATCAATAAATAAATAATATTTTTTTAATAAAGAAAAAAGAAAAACGAACATTTGAAAATGAAAAAACAAAAAACACATCTAAGTAATATCGGCGGTTCCTCTCCATTCAATTCACTAATCAACCCTCCATTTATACTACAACGGAAAGTAAAACAAACCAAATTTTGAATAACAAACCAAGAGTTTCCTCTCTCTCTCTCTCTCACCTCCCCGTATAGATATATATCTATATATTTATATATATATAGACACGCAGAAGATCCGAGAATTTACAAACAAAAATATTTGGAATACGCATTCGCACGTGCAAAACTTCCAACATTTTGAAATAATTGTTCTGTTTTTTTTGTCTCCTGATCGATAATCGTCGTCGTCGTCGTCGTTGTTATCGTAAGAATGGCGACGAATATAGGGATGATGGATAGTGCATATTTTGTGGGGAGGAATGAGATTCTTGCATGGGTCAACGCCAGGCTTCAGCTTAATCTCTCCCGCGTTGAAGAGGTATACCAATTCCTAAATTCAATAAATACTGATAAAAACCCATTTCTCCCCTTTGGGAAATTGGATAATTTTTTTTTTTTTTTTTTTTTTTTTTTTTTTACAGTCTTGGTTATTATTGATTCGGAGGAAATTCGGGCAATTTTTACAATTTTCGGAAATGGGGTTCTTGATTTATTTTATGATTTTAGCCTAATTTTTCTGGGAATAATTTGGTTGTGGGTGACCGAGGGCTGCTTCGGTTGTTGTTATGGCTTATGGGGGGATGTTTATATTCTTTATTAATCATTTACTGTTAGCCTGAGTTTGACAGCAATTGTCCGCGTGGGGCAGGTCTGGCCCGGGTAGGGTATGGGAGGCCTACAATCAAATGCCATAGGCGCTTGTTGTGTTGATTGCACTATAATGCTAGATTAGTTTTTAGAACAACTACATCTACTTTTATAAAAGAAGTGAAATTTGTGTGTATTATTATTGTGAATTTCAAATAAATAATCATTTCTTCACAAAAAAAAGAAAAAAAGAAAAAAAAAAAAGGGTGCATGTGGAAGCTAAGTTCATATAAATTAGTGTTACAGTTTGCTCGTGTTACATTAGATTCTTCGGCGTTTTTGTCCGTCATGCAAGTATAGTTGAGATTCTGCAAATATAGAGAATGGCGTATAATAATAAGATGTTTGTTTTTAGCAATGGCGCTTTGTAAATGCTACTAAATTTTATTAAATTTTATTTATTTATTTATTTATTAGGCTGCATCCGGAGCTATACAATGTCAGATGATGGACATGACTTATCCGGGAGTTGTTCCGATGCACAAGGTGAACTTCGACGCCAAGACCGAATACGATTTCATCCAGAATTACAAAGTTCTTCAAGAGGTTTTCAACAAACTCAAAATCGACAAGGTAAAGTAAATAATTCCAAATCCAATTCTTTAATTTCCGTTTATATTTGGCTTATGATAATTTATGTGAACTGTTTCAGCATATCGAGGTCAACAAGCTTGTCAAAGGGAGACCGTTAGACAACTTGGAGTTTCTACAATGGCTTAAACGCTATTGCGATTCTGTAAACGGCGGCCTAATGAACGAGTAATAATTTCTTAATCTAACCGGAAAAAAAAAAACACTAGTTACCGAAATACCTTTTTAATAATGTGTAAAAATTCATAGGAACTACAATCCTATGGAGAGGAGAACTAAAGGTGGAAACGGGAGAAATAATATCAAAGTTTCTCAAAAGAACTCAAAGTCTTTACAATCAAACAACTCCGGCTCGTGTGACGCAGATTCTAGGGTTCATGGAAGAACTATAAGTAATAATAATTCGTCTCGTTTATTTCTTCTCGTTTTTCTATTTTGTTTTCCTTAATTTTTCACAATTCAATGTCTTGTCTTAATATATATATATATATACATTTCTTGAATTTCAGGCACGAAACAGGGGAAATCGGGTAGTGTAACTTCGGGGGCCAATTCATCAATGGAGATTCAAGCACTCACAAGTGAGGTAATATATGCTGGGGGGTCTTGGCCCCCGCGGCTTTTCTATAATATTAGTATTACTTTATATAGTAATTTGTTATTTTACGAGTCTTGAGTTATTGTTGGCCAAAATCCTGCCTCCGCCACTGATTGGTATTGACGAGATCACATGATATATACATATATACAGGTATCAGATCTCAAGCTATCGGTTGACCAGTTGGAAAACGAAAGAGACTTCTACTTTGCAAAGTTACGTGACATCGAAGTACTTTGTCAGGCACCCGAGTTAGACGATGTTCCGGTAAGAAGTTCTCATTTTTTTTCCTCTTTACCAAGATAGAATGTTTTGAAATTTGTTCGATTTTGTTTTTTGTTTTTCGAATTTTGTTGCAGATAGCGATGGCGATCAAGAAGATATTGTATGCTGCTGACGAGAAAGAGTCTACACTCGCTGAAGCTCAAGAAATCGTGTCACAATCTGTCAATGATGAATTTTCTGCTCATGACTGAAATTGCTAAAGTGAAAAATAGCATCATTCATTGAAGAAAAAACTCAGAAATTGCTGATGTAGGATTTTTTTTTTTTTTTGTTCTTCTTTTTTTCTTGTTAAATACTTGGATTAATTACTTTCCCCTCTCAAAACTATGTGCCCTTTCTTGAAATAAGAATTCCAGTTTAGGGGTTTGGTTGCTAAATAATAAGTTCAAAGAGAAATACAAAATATAGAGATACAGTGGCCGAGCCAGGATTTTAAGTTCGGGAGGGCCGAATGCATTAAAAAAAAATCTGAGGGGAGCCACTAATGCACAATTTTTTTATATTTATTTATATATATATATATATATATATATATATATATATATATATATATATATATATATATATATATATATATATATATATATATATATATATATATATATATATATATATATATATATATATATATATATATATATATATATATATATATATATATATATATATATATATATATATATATATATATATATATATTAATAGGAATTTAAGAAATGTTGGGGGACCATAGCCTCCCTTGGCCCTATGCTGGCTACGTCGATGCTAAATACAAAAAAATGAATCAATATTGGTGGGGTTGGAAATCAAATTCGTTCGAGATCGGTTGCTTAATAGCTTGTTTGAACTTTGTGTTAGCATAACGAACCAAATTTGAAATACATTTTTTTGTTCAATAAGTTATGAAGCTCGACTAGAGCTGGAGCTTCATTAGGAAAAAAGTAATACTAAAAAAAAAGTTAAACTACTCGACTTTATTTGTTTATAAAATTCAGTTCAAACATAACTTTTAGACCTTAAATAAAAATTTGGACAAATTGAAATAACCATGCGGTGTCTTGATTCGAATACATTTTGTTCGATAAGCTACGAAGCTTAGAGGTAGAGCTCGATTTAGAGAAAGAAAAAAAGAAAAAAAAAATTACTCAACCTTACTTGTTTATCAAAATCAGCTGAAACATAAATTTTAGACCTTATTGAACAAATTTAAACAACCATGCTTGCCTTGATTCGTTTACTGCCTAAATATTAGCAAAATACCAAGAAAAATATAACAAATTTTGTAGGGGTTAAATTGCAATATTTCAGTTTTCATTGGGTTAAAATGATAATTAAGGCAATTTTGCAAGGTGGATAAACAAATAAATAAATAGGAACTAAAGACGATTGTAGAAGTGTCAAAATCATTTCCCATTCCAAAATCAATCGTCGAGCAGAGCATATCGGAAGAATTATTGTTGTAAAAAAAATGGCGAAGATGATGCTGATGAGATCGGTCGGCCGGTCAGTCTTCCGTAGATCTCAAGTTTTTTCCTCCTCCGCCGCAGCCGCCACCACCGCCGTCAACCACCACATCCGCTGCCTCCATCTCTCTTCCCCTTCATCACGCGCCTCTTCCCCTAATCAACGTACTTAATTTTATCTTTAATATATGCCGTTCTTTTCGTTAATATATACTGTGTATACCTTGTAATTTCTATTTTGTTCCTCATATCTGCGATTTGTACTGTGTATTTATGAAATTACCCCTCTTTTAGGGTTGGAATTCAATGTCCGTTTTCGTGCTAAGATTGGGCGATCGCCGAAAAATAGATTTATTAGGGTTTTTTGTAAGGGCTTCAAATAATGAGTTAATTCTTAATCAGATTTTCGCTGATTTCTGGAGATTGCTTTGCGTTGTACTTTTAATAAAATTCATGGGAGTTGTTAATCATATAATATGCAGTGTCAAATTAATCATGGTGATTCCGATTCTGTCTAGCAAAGAGACGAACAACGGAGAAAGGATAACATTGTGCTGGATTATTTTAGTTGCATACATTTTTAATGATGGTTTAGATGTTGGTTATGTTGCATTTTCCCAGATCTCGATATCGAGTGAAAGCTCCATAGACAACTGTTATGGTTTTCTTATACGTGTTCTGTTTTTTGATATACGAGAGATAAATATTTTCCAAGGATAGATATATGCTGCGTGATGTGTAAGATTGTTCGTAGCTGTACTATCTTACAGAAAATAAAATTTGGAAGATTTAACAAATAACGGGGAAGAATTAATCTAGTTGTCGACTTTCCTTGTACTATATCTGTATAAGCTGTTTCATGCTTAGCTACACCTATATTGAAAACTTTCTTTAGGTTATCCATCATCACGTAATTTGATATTTCTTTCTTGTAGATTTTCTGCATCCCTTTGCAACTCGTTTTGGGGGTATTCGATGTTTCAGCGAAGATATTTCACATATGCCTGTTATAAAAGACTCGGAAATCGAGCGTTCTTTCAAGGATTTAATGGCTACAAACTGGGACGAGATTCCATCCTCAGTTATCGAGGATGTAACAAAGGCATTGTCCAAGAGTACCGAAGACAACGCTGCCCAAGAAACCCTAAAAAATGTCTTCCGAGCAGCAGAGGCAGTTGAGGAGTTCACAGGAATTATTATGTCTTTGAAAATGGAATTGGATGATGTCATTGGGGTTAGCGGCGAGGTAAAAAGTGATTTTTGTGATTCGGTTGATTGATTAGTTTCAGTTGTGCTGTACTTTTGTTTTGATTGTTTTTTGATATTTATTTATTTTTTTCGGACAGAATGTGAAACCACTAACAGAAGAATACTCAAAGGCTATGCAGACGATTTTCAATAGATATGCTGCGTATTTGGCTGCATTTGGACCGGAAGAAAGCTATTTGAAGAAGAAAGTGGAAATGGAGTTGGGAACGAAAATGATTTACTTGAAAATGAGGTGCGGTGGCCTTGCTGCTGAGTGGGGAAAGGTATAATTCTTCTTGCAAAAATGATTTGATTTCTCGATTAAAAGTATTTTTCTGAATAAATAGTTATATTCAGGTGTTAATTCAAATGTCCATTATAAATAAGTAGTCAAGTACGATTGTGCCTAACGTCGTCACAGGATTAGTAAAAAAACAAAAAAAGATAACTCATGTTCGTTGATGTATAAACAACGTGGTTATAAATATTTATAATTGCGTAAGCAACGAAATTTACAAATTTCTCCTTTTAAAATATAATGCAGGTTTCAGTACTCGGGACTTCTGGACTCTCTGGCTCTTATGTTGAACAAAGGGCGTAAAATTCGAAAGACGGGCAGAAGAGTTTATAGTTCCGTTTCTGATGTTCGTTATGCTGATATTTGCTTAATTCCGACAAGTTAGTATAATAAAAGATAAACGGCATATTTCTCTCTCTTTTTTTTTTTATAATGCTGTGGTTTCCTTCTGAATTTTCTGATTGTCTCAAGTTAACATCTCGTGGATGTAACTAATGAGAAATATTGAGAAATGTTTTTAGTGTCGTCCGTAAACGTGCTTCAATTGTAATGGTTACATATATTTGATGCAGTCATTTAATCTTGTACCTAACGCTTTTTATCCTGTCCTTAATTATGACTTAGAAAACGTCCTTTTTTGTTGTCCCGTAGCACTAAATTGTTAAACTTGTTGGGAAAATAAAAATGTGCTCTTAGAGGAAAATATATGTAAGTTTGTGTGATAATAATAGATGGTTTGCTATGAGTTGTCGAGCTTGTTGACAAAACGCAAGATTAATGGATTGCCCGATTAAACGATCAATATATCTCTAAAATTGAACCGGTCACTTAAATTTCATCAAACCTCAACGATAACTTTTGCGGTTCACCCTTCGTATATATGCATATCCACGCGCATTTGTAGATTATAAAAGTTCGTTCATTAGAATTTGAAAATTACAATATTATCCTTGCATTACATTATTATTACATCAGCAACTTGCATTTATACACAAGACAAGTTAGCTCCGAAAAACATGCTGAGGAAAATAGAAACATCAGTACAATATAATACTAAACCACAAGACAGTTAGTACCTATGGTCACCCTCGTACCTATAGTTGTCATCGTAAAACGTGGAGAAGTTCGAATTTGACGTTGCCTCTTTATTAGTCTGCATTAAAAACGAAAACCAAATTATATACACATATGTATGTATCGGATAGCAATTTGTGTAGAAATGGATTATCAAAGAAGAGAGTACCCTGTGAATTATCTTCTCGAATGCTTCAGACCCGTTATTTTCGATGTATTTTTCCGCTGCAGTTAAAATATCGTCTGGCTGTCTGAATACATCCTTCTTATTCGGAACATACCATATATTAACACTCTTTTGGCGAGTGACTATGTATGGCCTCACAATGTGCTCATAAACGTACGCTGCTCCACTGAAGTACGGTATGACTAACCAGCAGGTGAATATTAGCTTTGCGTATGACCAGAAAGGAAGCCTACAATGGATCGAAATAGTTTTCCGATTAAAGAAAGATCTTTCATTTGATTTCTAGATAAAAGCCTGACTTAGCAACAATTAAATGTGATAGTAGAAGAAAAAAAAAACACCGGTTTAAGAAAAGAACTTGGTCATTAAATTCAAGAAAGGGGAGAATATAGTTTTCATCCTTCAAGTTTGTACGGATTCGACATTTGGTCCCTCGTATTCACAAAAATAACACATTGGTTCCTCATGTTTCAAAAATTCCAACACTTTTCGTATTTTCCATCAATTTTTCGTTAGTACTAACGGAATCGCATGTGCCTGTCACTTGTCACTGCCTTAACTAACGGACTAAGAGTGAACCGACGAAAATGACCAAAAGTGTTAAATTATTAAAACACGAGGTACCAAATGCGAAGTCAATGCTAACTAGAGGGATGAAAATCGTAATTTTCCCATTCAAGAAATAATAATGAAGAAAGAAAGTAAAATACCATTCAATGAGCTTTGCAAATGTGAGCTCAAAAAGAGTAATCATTGAGTAAAGAACCCAATATGTCAGCCATTGCTGATCATCAACCGATGATTTCGTCTCGATCGCCCTAATCGAAGCATATCTGCCCAAGAACGTCAAAAAGAAAAAAAAAAAATCAATCTTTTTTTTTTTTTTTTTGCATTTCTGCTGCAAAAGATCTGGAAACTAAATCAATTATTACAAAAAAAAAAAAAAATAATGCAAACTTACAGAGGATAGACCAAACTAACCACAGGCCTGCAATATATCCATAAACACCAAAAAAAAATATTATTAAAAAGGAAAATCATGTAAGAAAAAACCATATGCACATAATACAGTCCACATTTCTCAAAACACACTTTTTTATACAATTACACTCATTGAAGAATTCAAGATCCAGCATATAAATTAAATAAATAAAAATCAAGAAAAAAAAAGAAAAGGAGGAGACGAAGTTGACCCAGCAAGAACGTCGATATTCTGCGCGAGTAATTTGAGGAAACTTTCAGCTCCAGATCCACCACCCATTTCTGACAACAAATTAATGTATGTTTGTGGGAAGAGGGTTTTAGCCTGCAGGGTGTAATAATACTTGCTGTACTGGTGGAATTGGGTTCTGTTATAGTTTAGTTAGGAGGGAGAGAAGAAAGAAAAGCAAAAAAAGAAAAGAAAAAAAAAAGAATATTCCTACCGACCTAATGAAAGCAGATATTTGGGCTGCGTTGTTGTCCTAATGTGTGATAAAGCATAGCACTATACAAAGCAAAAGGAAAAATTATACTCTCATGTAAAAATTCGATTTTTACCGATTCGAGTCGATTAACTAACGGTCGTCATAAAAAATGGTTCGAAAATGAGTTGGTTGACCAATAAAACTAACTCGTGTCCAGCACGTCATTAACACTATTTTCTTAAATTAAGGATTATTAGAGCATCTCCGACCGGTCTCACCATTTTTTCACCAAATCAAATTTATGGTGGTGAAAAAATGGGTCCATCTTCCACCGGTAGCACACCATTTTACTCATCCACCATTTTTGGTGGAAAAATGGTGTTTTTGATCTCCAATGGATTTCACTAAACTTTAGACCAAATATTAAAATAATAATATTTCACTATTTCACCACTTATAGGAAATGAAATTTGGTTTGGTCTCCCATGGCATTTCACCCATATACGCCCCAAAACTATAAATATAATGTTAATCGTAATTTTATAATATTTTATTTCCTAAATATTAATTATAGATCCAATGTTAAGTAATAAATTTTTTTAACTATATAATTTAAAAATTATGTTATCAATTTTAAAAAAACTGTCTAAACATGAAATAACATGAACTCAAATTATTTTAATTATAATAAAATCATATATAAACAATAATCTCATAAATTATTGCATAAATGATATATTAAGTACAACATGAGAATTTAAATAAGCAGATCATGATGATTTAAATTTATAAATTTGTGTTATTGCTTATCATGTTTTGTTATCATGTTATGTTGTTTGTTATTTTATGAGCTATGTATTTCAATTTAAATATCTCGTTCTGTATTTCATCAATTAAAGTGTGTTTCGTTAATCATTCTATTGTTGCTTATTATATTTTATTAATAGCAATTAGCGTATTAGTTAAGTACAAAAATGAACTAATAAACATGATACCAACAAAATATACAAATTAATTAAAAATAAGCATATTTATATTATTAAAATTAATATTTTGTTAATAATAACAAATGTATTTATATTTTAAAAACTAATTTAATAATTAATACCAATTTATTTACGATAAATATGCTAATAAGTTGGTAATCGGGTGCAAGTAGTTAAAATTGTCATTTTATATGGTACTTAATAAAATGGTGTTAATTACGCCAAATCCTATTTTCACCTCTATATTTGGTAGGAAAAATAGGATTTGGTGGAAAAAATAGGAAAATGGTGGACCGGTGGGAAATGAAAATTCTTTCACCAAAAAATTTGGTGGAAAAACAGGATTTGAGTATTTGGTGGTATAGGGGTTGACCACGGTGGGAGGCTAAAACTAAATCTCTATAATTTTAGGTGTAATGGTGATATAGGAATTTCAGGTGGGAGACTAAAAACACCTAAATTAGATGAAAAAATGGCGTTATAGTATCCGGTCGGAGATGTCCTTAGTGATACCCCTCAAAACACATTTATGTATCTCGCCGACTCCTTTTGTACTTGCGGCTGAGTATTTTTCGAGAGGTCTCGATGCACTATACAGCCGTTGCCCAAGCATGTTTTATTCTACAAGGGGAGGCATCCCTATATCCCATTTGGCCTATGCGGATGATGTGATGATATTTACCTCGTGCCATAATTTTGGCCTGAAGAAGCTGCGGGATTTTCTCGATCATTACTGTCGGACTTCGGGTCAGTTGATTAGTGTGCACAAGAGCACTTTCACAGTTGATAGGGCATGTTCTGATGGTCATCTTCGCACTATTTCTCGGATTCTCAGTTATCCGAGAAAGGATCTTCCTATCATTTATCTTGGAGCTCCACTATACAAAGGGAGGGACCGGGGCAGTTTGTTTCACACTTTGCTTGATCGCATGCAAGCCAGGATTTCGGGTTGGGCTCGGACCGCTTTGGCTTTCGGGGGCCGTCTTGCCTTGATCCGGAGTACGCTTTCAACTATGGCTTTGCATCTTGTTCAGGTTATTCAACCTCCGCAGTACATTATTCAGCAGATTGAGCAGTGCATGGCCTGATTTCTCTGGGGATCTTATGGTAATCAGCGCCGGCCTCATTGGGTTGCTTGGGAGACGATTTGTCGGCCAGTTAGTGAGGGTGGCTTGGGGTTGAGGCGTTTGACGGATGTAATTGACGCCTTCACTTACAAGCTCTGGTTCCGATTCCGTGCTCAGGATTCTCTTTGGGCCCGTTTTCTCCGAAACAAGTATTGTCGGAATCGGTTCCCAGGTTCATCCGTTGTGTCTTCACTCTATAGCACGGTGTGGAAGCGCATGTGCCGTGTCCGAGAGCGTGTTCAAGCTCAAATATTTTGGCGGATTGGTCCAGGTCATGTTTATTTCTGGCACGACCACTGGTTTGGCGATGGTCCCCTTTCTGGCATTATTGATGGTGGTCGGCTAACATCAATTCGTGTGGAGTATTATTTGGTTAACGGTCAGTGGGATCGAAACAAGCTAGCTGAGGATATTCCTTTTGAGTGGATCGATAGGATTTGCTCGGTCCCAATCTCTGGTGCTTCGGGTGATTTGCCCATTTGGAGAGCTTCTTCGGATGGCAAGTTTTCCTTGACCTCGGCTTGGGCCTTGATACGACAGCAGCATACCCCTACCCCTCTTCTTCGTATATTTTGGGGATCTTGTCTTACTCCTACAATTTCTATCTTTCTTTGGCGTCTCCTTCTTCAGCGTCTTCCAGTGGATACCAAACTTCAGTCTCGAGGCACCTCTCTTGCCTCGAGGTGCTATTGTTGTCCAGATCCATCTATTCCTGTGTCGAGTCTTGTATCTCAGTCTGTCGAGTCTCCTTCTATTGAGTCGATTGATCATATCTTCGTGGAGAGCCCGACGGCTAAGAGGGTATGGCATCATTTTTTTTTATCTTTTTGGCTATACACCTGCACACACTACGCACATACCCCAGATTTTACTTTATTGGTAGCACTTCACTTCGCACACACTCACACACCACACACACATCACGACCATTGTGCCTTGCTTGATCTTGTGGTACTTATGGATTGCAAGAAATGACAGCAAGCACAAGGATATCACGGTTCGCGCTTCTTCCATCATTTATAGGGTCATCCAGCACATCAGGATTCTTCACCAAACCAACTTACTTTCGGCGGACAGCTGGACTGGCATTCCCCACGTGGCTGAGTCTCTTGGCCTATATTACGGAGTCAGAACACCAACTCTCACACCTCATCGAGTTGTTTGGCTTCCACCGGATCCGGGTTGGGTGAAGCTAAACACAGACGGAGCCCGTAGAGCATCCACCCAGATTGCAGCTATTGGCGGGATTATCAGAGGTTCGGACACTGAGGCCATACTTGCATTTCACGAGAGGATCTCTGCCCCGAGCAGTATTGCAGCCGAACTTGCTGCCCTTGCCTCGGGGCTGCGATTTGTTATTCAGAGGCAATTCACTAGAGTTTGGATCGAGCTTGATGCAGAAGTCGCGGTTCGACTTCTTTCGCACACGGACCAAGGTCATTGGAGTCTTCAGAGTTCTCTCACGGCGATCCGGAACTCTCTTTCTACTTTGGAGTACAAGATTACACATATCTACCGGGAGGGCAATCCAGTAGCTGATGCATTAGCTAACTTGGGGTGTCAGACCGAGTTGGCTCGTACCTTCACAACAGCGGAGCTTCCCCGACCTATTCAGCAGATGATTCGAATGGACCAGCTTGGATATCCATCCTTTCGACGACAGTCTCGCACATAGGTGCCATGCATTCCACGTTTTTATATTATTGGCAATTTAGGAATTTTCGTGAACTTTACATGTTAGGAAGGGTTGGGGTTATTATGGATTGTTTGGGTCTATCAAGACTAGACTGTTTGCCGAATGGTGCCACACATTTCGCAGCCGTTATACCAGTTTCGCCCATTTTTGGCGAAAGTGTAAGTGGCCTCGGCTGTTGTGGTGAGGCGAACGGTCTATACCTTGGTCTTCCACGACCTTCTATGATCATTCCCTACCCATCCATTTTATTATTTGGGCCACCTGTTTTGCCCGTGTTCTTAACGTTTTGTTAGTTAGCTATTGTCTTTTGTTTGTCAATTGCTATTATTAGCCATATGTTGGGCAGTAGCAATTTGAGCGAAACTCATTATGTACTTCTTAAATATTGTTTTATAAACAGGTAAGGGGTCAAGCCTAACCCCCCACCCTCATCGGGCGTCGTTCTCTTAAAAAAAAAAAAAAAACCCAATCTATAGTTACCCTTTATCAATACCTCTAATTTGATATTTAAGTTAATGACAAATCCATTGATTATTAATATACTCATTATGCCCTTCTTTCTTTGCTATTATTCTCTTTCCCTCTCTATTCAACTCTTCTATCACCTATTCATCTAGGTGCCTCTCTTCATAGTGTTTCCATCTTTTCGGTGGTTCAATCTGCTCGTTGATCCCATTTAATATTAGTATCTCCAATACGTTCCCTCAAGTATAGGTAAATTATCATTGCACTTGAAATATTTAAAATGGGTGGCGGTGGGATTCGAACTCAACACCTTTTGTGGTCTGACTCTGATACCATGTTGAATGACGATCTCAGCCAAAAGCTTAAGTTGTTAAGTGCAATGTATCATTTAATATTAATATCGCCAATATAACCTTCAAATCGCGAGATCTCAACTCAGCTGTGAACTAGCATTTACAGTGCGTCAACGCTTTGGTATGTACTCTCAATTTGGGTTCATCATTTTTTTTATGAGATATACTGATGGAGTTTTTACTTTTCCTTCTTTTTTTTGGTCTCACCGGTGACGGCTCTCTCGTTGGCTACAAGTCTCTCTCTCACAACGAGGTTTGAACTCTGAAGTGGAGAATCCAATCTAGAAATTTGTTGATTGAAAGGGAAAGAATAGAGTCTGGCCTTTGAAGGTGGTGCAATACTATCTCAAATACTTGTCGATCCAAGGGATGGGAGTCCTGGGGGCG